ACATACATAGGCTCACGATTAATTAATGGAACATCCCATTACACAAACTTGCATTAGATTTTAAAACAAGTAAAAGAGCAAATTAACCTCTAAATTATTGGTTCTAAAATATGTAAAATTCTAAACTCATTTTCAATGCACTCTTTCCCTTTAATTTTTGAAAATAGTGTAATTTAACTCATATTATTAATAAAAGTTAATTTTAACTATTAATTAATTAGAAAATAATAAAAAAGGATATCAAAAATTATAAAAAGGACATAAATTTACAGACAAGGACCCCAACAAAATACAGAAAATTTTATTAGTCCTTTTTAGTAATGTTTTAGAAGCTTGATTGTACCATTTTTAAATGTTAAAAAAGTATTATATTAAAAAAATAAGTTTAAAATATCATATGTTTTTAGATATAGTATATGGGCCAAATTGTTCTTGTACCTTTAAAGTTAGGCTTCTCACATGTTGTTTCTTTTATATTTTGATTCCATTCTGTGTTTTTATTGACCTTTTTATCTTTGTTGGGGTACTCCATCGGCATGACATGGGGATGAATATCTGGGTATCATAATTTCACGTGAATGACCATTTTTTCTTCATTATAGTTTAACTAAGTCTAGCAGATAATGAATTGGTTGGTGTTGGCGTTTTGCAGTTTGGGTGGTGCCGTAAAATCCATTTAGGCCTCGTGCGGAATAAATGAAATGTAGGTGGAGCCCACAATCCCATAACCCAATAGAGACGTCTCACGTGTGCCGAAAGACGTGTTAATGTTTTTACACGTGGCAAGAGTAATGCCAGCGAAGAAGCTAGGGGAAAAACAGTAAAATTTTAAAAGAGAAAATTAAAAAGTTAATTTCTTAAAAATAAAAAATAAAAAAATAAATTATAAATATAAATTCAAACAATTGTAAATGAAAATCTCAATTGCAAATTAAAAATTATATCTATAATTTTAAATGTGCTTGAATTTATAAAGATTTTTTTCTATTTAAATGCATAAAATTAAAGTATATAAATTTGAATTTAATTTCAATATGTGCACTTTTAAATTCCATTTGGGTCATAAATATTTGAAATTTTAACTATTATGACCCTTTCACTTTTTCCATGTTTTCAGCTTCGATGCCACGTTACTCTTGGCCTTCTTCTTTTTTTTTCCTTTTTATCTCATATCTCATTTTAATCTTTAACCAGTTAAAAAATAAAAATAAGTTTTTCATTTTCAATCTTACTTTCCTTTTAAATTTTAAATTTTAAATGTGAGATTTTAAATTTTAAATTTAAATTTAAATTCATCAATTCAAACACTATTTAATTTTTAACATTTTAATTATTCAAAAAATATTCATAATTTATTTTAAAAAGTCTCAAAAGTTTAATTTTCTTTAATTTTCTCTGTCAAGATTTTTTTAAAGGCAAAAGCTTATAGATAGGGGTAAAAAAAAGAATAAGAAGAAATTAGTCCACGTTTCTAAAACTATTTAAAGGTCTATTTGGTTTTATAGTTTTTAACATTGGAAAGTATATTTTTACTTTTTAAAAGTTAATTGTTGTTTGATTTTTAATCTTTTTTAAAAAATTTATTTTAAAATTCCTTTTCAAATGTTGTTGAATTTGCTTTTTGTCAATCTAAAATAATGAAACTTTTAAAAATTGAATTTGAAAAGTGTGATATTATTTTACCATGTGATCCTAAATTTAATTTCTAATTCTTTTATTTAAAAAATAATTAATTTATTAAAAATATAATTATTATTTCAATAATAATAATTAGGTACCAAGTTTTTATCATTATAAATTAAATAATTAATTATATTAATTTTTAGCATTAATATATAATAAAAATTATGAAACTTTATCACATTTTTTAAAGTTATAAATTAAAAAAGTGTAAATAATTAGAGATTAAGTTTTTAACACTATAGATTAAATTTTATATTATCTAAAATTTTTATCACACTTTTTAAATATTTTAAATATATTACATTTATATTATAAAAATTATAAATTATTATAAATTATTGTCTTTTTTAATAATTATATGCTTAAAAATTATGAACATTTTACTATTATAAATCAAATAATTTTCGGTATGCCAAAATAAATTTTAAAAAAATATATTTAAATATAAATTTTATTATAACAATTAATTTTTATTAAATAAATTTTTAACAAATTAAAAACTAAACAAACATTAAGATTATAGTTGATGATAAATAAATATTTGAGATCCAAATTTTCATTCGCACCGTACTCTGTCGAGACTGAACTTAATTGTCCTTCCAAAATGTTACAGCTCCCGTGGGGACTGGGCCCCACATCCTTGACCCGTTGTCAGGCGTGAAAAATTTTCAAATTTCTTCAATGGTAAATATTAATCTCGTTTCCTTCGGCATTCACTTCAAGATTTTGTTATTTAAATTAAAAATTACTTGTTTTATATTTTGTTTAGCCTGATACTTATTTTATATTAAAATTATAGCCTTCTCAATCCACATATTTATACCATTACACTTATAAGTGGTCAACAGCATGAATCACTTTTCAGCACATGTCATCAAGTATTTTACAAAACAATGTGAATTAATCTTGCAAATACTTGCGTGATGAATAAAACAAATAGCATAAAATTAATATTCAATTATTCGTATTTTGAGAAAACATTACTTTAGTAGTAAAATCAATATCAATATAAAATAAAAAAACGCAACTTAAATTAAATTATTAAATTATAAATAATGCGGCTAATTTTATATTTCATGCAAATACATCATATCATATCATATGACACTCATTATCTATATTTCTTACTCATAAAGAGTTGTTTTTTTTTTAACTAAAAAATAGTCTTTCTTGTTATAAAACTCTTAATCTTATATTCAAGTCTACACAATAATATTATAATGCTAAATTATCCTCCCCTTGCGTGTGTTCATTTCAAGTGGAAAAGCCCTTTACGTGCCGTTTTACAGTTGCCGGCAGCTGGCTTTCACCACAAAACGACACGCCTTTCTCTCGAGATTTCGGGTCCGAGGCATTTGCTATTTACGTCACTATCATAACGTACATCACTGTTTATGCGTGTAAAACACAAATTATATAATACTCTCTCGTACGACACTTTAGGCGAGGGAGCAGGGACCTCACTCACTTCAGTGGTGCATCATTGGATGGGATTTGTATTTTGTATCACATGAATTTAAAGTATTATTTTATTTTATATTTATTAAAATAAAAAATTTATAAAAATAATTTTAATAATTTTTTATCTTTAATTTGATCTAATTTTAATTCAAAAATTCTAATTTCATATTAAATTTTTATAATTATTATATATTTACTATCCTGATGTATTTTGCAAAGTTTAAATTAACTCAAACTGTGTAGAGTATATTTAGATAGTCGATATGCAGTAATATAAAAATTTTAATATTAAATTTAACTGTCAAAATTAAATATAGATCAAATTTAAAATAAAGAATTATTAAAATTATTTTATAATTTTATAAAATTTTATTTTAAAATCTGGAGCATCCAAATGTGATGCTCATCGAAGACGAACCCCTAAGGTAAGTGAGATTGAGTACTTCAAAATATAAAATATTTTATTAAAAGTAAAATTTTATCAAGGATGTTTTTAATAATATTTCTTTTTTTATTATAAATAATGTAACTTATTTATATGTCTGCTACTGCTATCATTCAATTCCATTGCTTTTGTTTTTTTTTTTTTTGAATAAAAATGAAAACTAAGCCATACAAAAGGAAAGAACAATCGGAGACAATTAAGTGGTCAGTTTTCTTAAAAAAAAAAAAATCAGTCAACTTCTTAAATTTTGAAGAGGCAGAATAAAGAAAATACAAAAATGTTGGTCAATGGCATAAGCATTTTTTGCGAGCCTCAGACCAGCATATCTTGACTTCTTAAGGGTTGGAGAGTACCACTTGATTTCACTATCATTCAATCTCATCCTGAGCTGCTGGTCAAAAATAAAAAATAAATAAAAAAATTTCATCCTGAGCTTAATACTGGACTTATAATATTGCATGCATACTTGTGAAGTCTCAATTTTTAACTAAACTTTGAGTTTAATTAGAAATTAGATCTATCATCCTACCAAATAAATCATATTTTCTAGGAAAACTGATAACAAAAATTTTTTAAAATATATAAATGATAATTTAATTCCTTTAAATGTTATAATTTTTTTAAAATTTTTAAAAACTTTTTTATCATTAATAAATTTATATAAATTACCAAATTATTCTTGTTGAAAATAAATGATTCACAATTTTTTTTCTTAAATTCACAATAATGTAACAACAAATCACAACTTCACATGTTAAATTTCTTATTTATTATTATATTGTTGTGAATATAAAAAAAAGTTATAAATTATTTATTTTTAAGGGCAATTTGATAATTCATATAAATTTATTAATGATAAAAAAAGTTTCTAGAGATTTTAAGAAAATTATGGTATTTCGAGATACTAAATTATCATTTTTATATTTTAAAGAGATTTTATTATCATTTTCTCTATTTTCTATTACCATTATAAAATATAAATCAATGTAAATAATAAAACATATAGGATACTACATTAGATTCTTTATAATGTATAAAACAAAGCATGTCTATTTTTTTGGCCAATGAAGTAAATTTTTGAATTGGTATTTTATTTAAGGATATCCAATTACTCTTGTTAGTTACCAAGTGGTTGTGAGTTGTGATACATATGATAATAGTCTAGGTCTCTTAGATAACATTCTAGAATTCAATTTTTTAAAGTGTGTATGAAAAAAATATTTAAAAAAAATAATTCCTTAAATAATACTCAAATTATTTAAAAAATTTGTCTCAGCCTGTGCGCCCTGTCGAGATATATTGGGTAATCAAAAAATTAGTCATGCTAGCTGCTGAAGTGAAGCAAGCAAAGCGTATCTAGCAAGCTCAAAGCTCAAAAAAAAAAAAAAAAAAAAAAAAGGAAACTCCAGCTCTCATTTCCATTGCCAGAAGAGATGTCATCTTCTCTCTTTCTTTCTCTGAAGCAGCTCCTATAAAAGACAAAGTAAATGCAACAATCTCCACGAGTTCTGTCCCTCCTCTTAAACTCATTCCATTTCCATCACTGGCCTCACAGCATTAATGGCCAAGTGGAAGAAGAAGAACAACCCCAAGAAACTGTCCTACATCTCAGTCCCCTCTCAGATAATCAACCCCATTTCCTCTTCATCTCTCCAATCTCTGCTTGACTCTCCCAAGAAATCTTCAAGGAACACCAACGTCGTCTTCATTAATGGCTTCCCTGCTAAACACCCAAAACTGCTCTGTTTTTTCACTCTCTTCCTCCTTTCCTTCCTCGGCATTCTCAATTTCCTCCCTTTTTCTCCCTACCCATGTGCTACAACACTGCCCAATGTTCCAATCTCTAGTGGGTATCATTTAAAATCCAAACTTGGGGTTATTTCCTCAAATGGGTATGTTTCAAAATCCGAGCTTGAGGCTTTTTCCTCTGAGAAAGGAAGAGAAGAAAATGAAACAGGAGATTCGGAGTTTTGGAAGCAACCGGATGGACTGGGGTATAGGCCATGTCTGGATTTCAGCAGGGGGTTCAGAAGAGAAAGTGAAAGGATTGTGAAGGAAAGGAAGAAGTATTTGATGGTTGTGGTTGCTGGAGGATTGAATCAACAAAGGAATCAGATTGTGGATGCTGCTGTGATTGCTAGGATTCTTGGGGCTGCTTTGGTTGTCCCCATTTTGCAGGTCAACGTCATTTGGGGCGACGAAAGGTAAACATGAGTATATGACGGACACACAAGTAACTTTCAAAAATTCTCTTGAGAAACACCAGATTAATTAATATCATAGTACATGTAAGTATCAGAGCTTGACAGGGAAAGTTACAAGTTGGAAGTGAAATAAAGTTAAGTTTCTAAAAATGGTCAAATGGTAATCAAACTTTCAACCACTTAGCCATCTTTAAGCTCAAGTTTTTTGTGCAGGAAAATGGAAGTTGGAGATGGTTCGAAGATTAACGAATGTTTTAATGAAAAGTTTAATATTGATTTGGTTGCAGTGAATTTGGGGAAATATTTGATTTGGAGCACTTCAAGAGAGTTCTTGGGGGCGAAGTGAGAGTGGTATCTGCATTGCCTTCAACGCACCTCATGACAAGGCCAGTGGAGGGAAGCCCTCCTCCCCATGTCACTCCTGCTTGGATCCGTTCTCGCTATCTCAAAAGGGTATCAAATATGCTAAGCTTTTGTTCTTTTAACATAATGTAAAAATCTACGTCAACCCACCTGATATGCTTATATGTTATATGTAATAAAAAAATATATTCTATGTCATAAAGGTTCTAATAAAAACTCAGAAAAAATCTAAACTAAAAAAAGAATATGATTCTTTGACTAACCATTAAACTATTGTCTTAATCAATTTAATAAAATACTTTATTTATGACTGATTTAATCACGATTTAACTATAATTTTAATCATTAATTCTTGAATCAGTGTCTTCATTGATTTAATAATTAATTTAGTTTTCAATATCTTGTTCTTTAAATGTTCCCTATCATGCTCCAATTAATAGATTTGATCTTTTGCTCTTTTCTCTTCCAAATACACACAAAGCAGGAGGCAACAGAACTATTTGACTTGGAGACAGCATAAATTCTAGTTTCTTTCTATTTTGACTGTCACATGCTCTTTAGTTTTTTTTTTTTTAATTTGAATAGTTTACAACTGAGTCAGAAGAGTATCAAAAGAAAATTAATTCGGTTTTGAAACCTCCATGAGGACCATAAAATTTTGCAAAGTCAATGAAGTCATTTTCACTTTTAAAATAGGGAGATTTACATTAAGTCTCACATAAACAAATTAATTACTATAAAATTTATTAACAATTGAACTAAGACTATTGACAATAATTTTTTTTTTATTTGTGTGAGATCTGGATGTAATTTTCCTTTCAAAATATGTGCGCCAATGCAATCCCAACCACTAGCATAAATTTACATCGATTAAGTGTGAATGAAAGTGGAAAGAAGCCAACATAGGATAAGATTAGATTAATGAAGAGGTAATGTCAATTGTACATCAATAACTTCTTTTCTATAATAATAATAATAATAATAATAATAATAATAATAATCAAGCAGAAAAGACTTTGCCATGTGAGGCTATCTTGTATCTCATACGTGGGATCATTTGTCAAACAATGGCTTAGTCAGAGATCTAACGTTTTAGACAAGAACTTGATCAACTTTCAGTCCTCATGTCTACTTAATGGCCACAATTCCGTTTGTGGATGATTCATAAGCTTCGTCCACTATTAACTAGGGAAAGCTTCGGTTTCTCCTGGTATAGAGTTATAATATGATTTTGTTGTCCTCTGCCAATAGCTCAACAGAGAAGGTGTTTTGCTCTTACGCGGATTGGATTCAAGGCTGTCCAAGGATCTTCCTCCCGATCTTCAGAAACTTCGATGCAAGGTATTTGCTTTATCCATCAGTCTGCCCTTAAATTATGTCATTTGGTTCAACTTTCAAAACGGCATCATTCCACTCAGTAGTCAGGATAACATATGACGAAGGTACAACAGATGATGAATCAAGCTCTTTCCAACGCAAACTGCGTTGAATACATACACTAACAGTGGCATAATTATGTTAACCTATTGTTGGTGAAACTTCATTCTTTTGGGGTCAGGTTGCTTTTCATGCACTAAGGTTTGCAAAACCAGTGGAGGAAGTTGGGAACAAGATTGCTGAGAGAATGAGGAGAAAAGGGCCATATATAGCTCTGCATCTGAGAATGGAAAAGGATGTGTGGGTCAGAACAGGATGCCTACCAGGTCTAAGCCCACGGTATGATGAAATTGTCTACAATGAAAGAATACAACGCCCAGAGCTCCTAACTGCAAGATCAAACATGACTTATCATCAACGGAAGCTGGCTGGCCTCTGCCCCTTGAATGCCATGGAGGTTTCCAGGTCGGTGTGTGCAGAGAGGGAGACGTATGTTCAAATTAAAAGAGAAGTCCATATAACTTGCTCTAATTTTTATAATGAACTATTGTGTTTAATTTATAGGCTGCTTAAAGCTCTAGGAGCTTCAACAAGTGCGAGAATCTACTGGGCTGGTGGGCAACCATTGGGTGGGAAAGAAGCATTAGTTCCTATAATCGAAGAGTTTCCATATTTTTACAATAAAGAAAATCTTGCCTTGCCAGGAGAACTAGAGCCTTTCAGAAACAAGGCTTCTCTAATGGCTGCTATAGATTACATAGTTTCTGACAAGAGTGATGTTTTCATGCCTTCTCACGGAGGAAATATGGGCCATGCAATTCAGGTATGCTTCATAGTAATTTATTCACCATCTAATAGAGTTATTTCATATACATAATCCAAGTGAAACAATAATTAGCAGGGCCACCGAGCGTATGCAGGGCACAAGAAATACATAACCCCAAACAAAAGACAAATGCTCTCTTACTTTATGAATTCTTCTCTCCCAGAAGCAGAGTTTAACAGGATCATCAAGGAATTGCACAAAGACTCATTAGGGCAGCCTGAACTCAGAACAAGCAAGGCTCAAAGGGATGTCACCAAATATCCTGTCCCGGAGTGCATGTGCAATGATTCAAATGCTCCTTCCTTCATATAATCCGTGACCATAGCCTCCAGTGAATGCTCCTGAGTCCTGACAAGGGAGTCGGCTCTAGTTTTGGTGGGTCCTATGATTTTTGGAAAGCAACTTAGGGTATCTTTAGGGCAACTCTCATGGCAGGTGCAGCCACGTCATTTTTTAAACATACTAAATTATCATTCTTTAATTCGTTATGCTAAAAGCTTGTAAAGGTTGCAAGAGAACATGACGAACTAGAAAGTCTGGCCACAAAAACAATCATGTTTTCAACTCTAGGCACGCTATGTAAAGAAAATTTCTCAGAATTAAAAAGTGTAGTTTCAAGTCTGTAATCTAGAATTGAGCAGCGGAAAATTAAGTTCATATACACATTACCAGCCATGACTAATAATTAATATATCAATATAGATATATAGTAAAATAATAACAACCCACATTATTTATAAGTCATGAATAACATTACTCAATTTTCTAACCAGTATATAGGAAAATGAGTCCGGTTGCTAGTATATATTGGAACATTCGCCAATCAGGAATGGGGAGGGAGGAAGACTAAACTATTCCAATTGGCAAAAGATTGCCGGATCAACTGATTTTGGCAACACGATTAAACCTTAGGCCAAAATTGCTTAATTAGCAAGAATATAAGCATGGTTATGAACCAAATGACTCAACATAGCAACAAAGAAAAGTTTAATAAATCAAATCACGTTCAGATACAAGTCATAAAACAATGAGGCTAATGACATGATTTAGCGACCAAAGAACCTGTTTGATTCTTCTGTTGTAATTTGCCATGAATGAGAAATGAGATAAAAAGTTTCTCCTCTGAGCTTGAGATTCTGTTTTTTTTTTTTTTTTTGGGGGGGGGGGGATCCATCCCAACGTCCAACTTGTAATATCAAATTTTGCTGTTCTGACGCAGCAATTACACCAATAAATATCATCACCGAAGCACTTGCCTGGAGGTTCTGCATTTCCAAAGCATCGGAGCACTTGCCTGCCTACATTTTCGTTTTCCATGAATATACCAATATCTTCACAATGAGGAGTCGCCTTCTCACAAGTTGCTCCGATTACATTAATAATGCCCATCATGCTTCAAAATGAGGAGTTGCTTTTTCAATAGTTGCTCAGAATACATCAATAACGCCCATCATGCTTCCAGCAAGCACGATTCTTCTTTTGAAGAAACTGACCAATATGGTGATAATGCCACAACTTTTCCAATTATGATCAGTGTTGGCGACTCTAATTGAGCAGATGAAATTTTCTCAGCAAGGTCCTTCAGTACTGAAAAAACCTGCATTATTGCATGGTGCAATCAGTGGTTAAAACTGATTGCCAGAAAAGCTGAACCTTAAAGCATACATCATGCATAAATTAGATATAGAAACAAATTGATCATCTGAAGCAAGTCCAATCGTGATTACAGAATTGAATCAATAAGTGATTATACAATCAAAGTAGAAGCAACAATTGGTGATGAACAAAACAATAATATTGATTATACTCACTGTGCGTTGTTGAGGTGTGGTCCCTCGCTCAATGGCTGCAGCTGGGGTTTGGGGGGATAGACCATGATCCATTAACTTTTTGGCCAATGAAGGGAGGGTTGATAAGCCCATATAAACAACCAATGTCGAATCAGGATCAGCTGCATTTTCTGCCACAAACAGAGGATCTGTTCCACCTTTCCTTGAATGTCCTGTGAGAAATCTCACACTCATTGAAATACCACGGTGTGTTAATGGAATCCCCAGCTCTGCTGCAATTCCAGACGCTGCAGTTATACCTGAAGCAATGAAAACATTGATTATTGCAGGATCACCATATCTTCACTTTTTGAAAGCAATCGTAGAACTTACAGAACCACACATATCTTCTACAACATGAATGAGCATAACCGAAGTCATGCTCCATGCTTTTGTGCTGTACTTTTTCAATGACTAAGTGTGTGCGCACATATATATTTTACATACATGTCCTAAGTTACTTTAAGACATTCACAAGTTTAAATTGTATACAATGGCAAAAAAGTAACACTTTCTTGTTCACTATTAAAAAGCAAAGAAGTGTACTGTAGCAAAGACATAAAACCATGGGAACTGTCATCTTTCCAAAGCATTTTAGATTCTACAAATATAATCCTCTATGGGTACATAAGACTCAGATGAACATACAAAATGAACATATACAAAAGAAGATAGTCATTTAAAGCAGAACATAATCCATGCTTGTTAAACCAAAAAAAGAATCTAATAAAGGCCTGTGATTGATGGGAATATATAGGTTTCTAGTCACAATTACTAATCATTTTCTACAATGTATCTATATCATTCTTTGTGTAAGCTACTATGCATGCAACAATGGAGGAGCTAACCAACACCTTAGAAGAAATTGAGAATCCAAATCTTTTAGTAACGGGTTTCAGCTCTATAATGATATCAATTGCAACTGTTGCATACCTGGGATGACTTTCACATGAATACCTTGCTTTTGCAGAAAATCCATTTCTTCCCCACCTCTCCCAAACACCTAAAAATGCCCAATAGTAAGCATTTAAACGATTCCACAGTTCACAACAGAAATCACGAAAGGGTAATTCATCAAACTAGTGTAAGAAAAAAAAAAGTCACTCAAGACCCTCCCGAGCGAATACTCACCAATGGATCACCTCCTTTAAGTCTCACAACAGTTGCTCCAGCTTCTGCAAAACTCAGAAGAAGCTCATGTATTTCCTCCTGCCAAAAGTTGACCAGAAGAAAACAGATTAACTTTCATCAGGGTATCGAATGATTCTATAGCAATACAGAAAATGCCAAAACACCCAAATCCATATAGAATTTCCAGGAGAGGATTCAAACGCTAAGAAGTATAGACACCAAGACAGGTATAAAACAGAAACATAGTACCAAGCCCACAACATGACCAACTATAAAACCCAATATCCCACTAGATTTACAACAACTAAAATCTTTTTTTTTTCCATTTGTTACCAAAAAAAATCTTTTTTTCATTTTATTTTACCTGGGTTCTGCTGTGGTACCCCGCAGTTTTGCCCACATAGAGGAGCTTAGCATCCGGACCAACCAAATCCAACACATCATTCGACACCAATCTATCATATAACAACAAATCAGCATTCTTTATAATCCTAACAGCTTTCAACGTCAAAAGCTCAGGATCCCCAGGTCCAGTTCCGACCAAGAACACATTCCCCGGCGGCGAACCTTCACCTCCGCCGCCACACTTCCCTTCACTCTCCCTCTTCTCTCTCAGCACCTGAAGCAACTTCTTCAGCTCCGGGAGCTGCAGGGCGATCTCGTCCTCCCTAATGGATCCCGAAGAGGATGGGAGAGGGCAGGACAGAGTTTGCCCCAATTGGTTCTCGTAAACCCATCGGTCCCTTTGGTACCTCTCGATAGAGTGCTTCTCAGTGAAGGCCGAAGTAGAGAGATTGCAGTTGAATGAACAAATGGGCTGTGTGGTCGAAGCATGGAGGTTTCTGGAATGAGGTGAATTGTAGAGAGAAGAAGAGAAAGATGCAAGCTTGGGAACAAGAGACATAATGTAGAGATGTAGAGGGATTAGGAAGAGTCTGGGAATTGGATTCTCATATATGAGCTTATAGAAAAGGAGGGGACAACGACAAACGGTATCAATGAAGCTCGAGTATGGATGGAATTTGGAGGGACGGAGAAGGCAAAGTTGCCTTTGGGGACTATGGAGGGACGCTCCGCTTTTCCCATTTTGATGATCGGGTCGGGTTTTTGGGGGGGGGGGGGGAGACGTTGCTTTGTTCGTGTAATAACCAATTGTCACGCGCCACTTGTCATAAAAATTTACTGATGTGTCCCTCGTATATGACAGGTGGCAAAATTGGGAGGATTTTGAAAGCATGACCTTAAAAGAACTGGCCGGCGCAGTGCAAGGCCGCAGCTGCAACAGCCTTTGGGTCTTTTTGATCGTATTTAAGACACTTTTAAGCACAATATCACCTATTTATAAATTTTATTAAATATATTTAATAAAATTATTTTTTAAAATAAAAATATAAATTTTAAAAAATATCTATCATTTAATTTATAAAAAAATAAGAATTAATTATAAGAAATAATAATAATAATTTAGAATTGATGTATTTAATAAAATTTTAATTTATTAAAAATATTTTATATTTTCAAATAAAAAAATTATCAAAAATGTCAAATAAATCAGGGTGAAGGGAGTCGGATATATAGAATTATATTAAAATTAAGAGAAAATTAATGGTTTGCTTTTTATAACTAAGTTGTAATGTAATTCAGTTTGGAAATGTTAGTGTGGTGTAATTCAACAATATGACTTAGTTAATTTTATATTTATAGTATAACTTAATCTTTATAGTTTTTGTCATTTAAATTGTTAGTTCTTAAATTTTAAAAATAATTTTATTTTTTTAAATATAGGGACAAACATTTTAAATAGATAAAATTATAGGAATTGAGTGAAAAAATTAAAAATTTAAGATCTAAGTTTTAACTAATTCAAAATTATAAAAGTTAAGTTGCACCGTGTCAAAATTTAAAAAATTAAATTTTAATTTAGTTAAAATTATAAAGATTAAGTAAAGAATTTTTCCTAAAATGAAAAACAAATTAAGAACACAACATAATTAAGAATAATAAACTTTATTTATATATATATATATATATCTATATCAATATATTATATTTAAGTATTGTGGAACTTAGTTAAAAGTAATTTTCTCAAAAAAAATTATTTATATGGACTTGAATTCAAATCTGGTACTCAAATAATCACGACTGTTTCTATCACATATATAATATATTCTTTCTATTTAAAAATATAAAGTATTTTTTAAGAACTTAAATGTTAAAAAATATAAGATATTTAACTTTTTGAGGTGTAATTATTTTCTTTTAAAAAAAATATCTCTAACGGTAATAACTTTATATTTATTACAAGATATTTAATAAAAATAAATATAAAAAGATAGGATTAATTTAAAAATAAGTAATTATTTTATTAAGAAATAAGATTTAATTAAAAATATTACATTTTTAAATATACAAAGTATATATTTTACCTTGACTAGGCCGCCTACAAATAGAACAACTCCAAACAAAATAGGATGGTTGGGTGGGACTTGGGATGGTTTTGGAGGGTTGAGCTTTGCGGGACCGTGCTATATAGAGACCATAGAAGACAAGCCATGCTCTTGGTCTTGTATTGTATGGACACGGAAGATTGATGTATCATGTCACTAGATTAAAAAGTCGTTAATTTTTAGAAATAATATAATTTTCAGTTTGTTAAATTTGCTTCAATTATTAACTCAATACTTAAATTTTAATTTTTATTAATTTAGTTTCTTAAATTTTCTTCTATTATTAATTTGATTCTTATTGTTTAAAATAGAATTAATATTATTAAAATTTTTCAAGATGGATAATAGAATAATGATAGAAGTTATATAGATTAATGAAAAGAGAGTCAATTTATATTTTAAAATTTAATTTAATAAATTTTTATAATGAGTATTAAAGGTTTAACACAACCTTCATCTTTTATCGGGTTTAAGGCCAATGGTATAATACAAGTAGAGTTTGAGATCAAAAATCATAAACATAATAATTTTTTTTTTATAGAACTATAAGTAAAACAATGAAAGAATGACAATAAAGTTTCAAAATATTAAATTAATTATAGTTAAATCCTGACAAAATTTTTGAAAAAATAAATTGAAAACATTAATATAAATAATTGTAAAATTTAAAATTTTAATTGTAAGTAAGTATTTAAGTATCAAATTTACTTTAGTTTGTAATAAAATTTTTTGTTTGTAACAATATTCATACTTGTATAATTCTAGGTGTGCTAGAAATGCAGGTCTCAATATAAATAAAATTTTTTGAGATTTTTTTTACCATAAATTACTTGAATGTGAAGATATAGCAAGTATTTAAAGAAAAATAATTTGATTAATGATGTAAATTTATACAAGACTGTAGAAGTATAAAAAAGGAGTTCAGTTTTGGTGCTCATTAAGTGATGAGCACGATCGAGATTTTATAAATTTTTTTTTTAATTTTATTTTATATTTATTATAAAAAATTATAAAATATTAATAAATTTGCTTTATTATCAATCTAGATAATACAAACTTATTCTGAATAATTCAATTTAATATTATTTTTTAAAAAATTATAAATTAACTATTTAAATATATTCTAAACAGATTAAATTTAAAGTATATTTAAATGATTAATTTATAAATTTTGTATAAAAATAATATTAAATTAAATTATTTAAATTAAATTTATATTATTTGAATTGATAATAAAATAAATTTATTAAAATTTTATGAACACCAAAACCGAATGAATAAAAAAGTGGAGTTGCCTCATTTTGGCCCAAACAAACGGTTTGAATTGGTATCACAACTTATCTAAAAAACAAAATTGTGAGACCTTGCCATTGTTAATTTAGTTCTTTAGGATCTAACTATCATTTGTCCTAAAATAATTCCTCACTCTAGAGAACAATAAGAAAGAAAATCACAGAAACGAAGAGAAGCGTTGCATCAGTTTAATTCACAAAAAAAAAAAAAAACTGCGAGAGAGAGAGCAGCAAAAAAAAAGGAAGATCGTCAGATATATTATTATATATACATATACATTCAGATCGTCACCGTCTTCCTCAAGAAGACGAAGAAGCGAAGAGGGCTATTATATATAGAGAAGCTATAAGCGAGAAGGCTGAGAATTAACAGGAAAGTAAGAAACGACAATGGGAGCTTCAGATTTGTGAATCTCTTTGGGTCTCTGAGTTAAAGAACCTGCTTCCACTGCATGCCCCTTCTCTTTTCTGGGCTTCGACGAAGACGAAGCTGGTGATGATCTGGACTTGAAGCAGCAGCAAAACATGGTGGCCGATATAGAGGAGACTCCGAAGCTATAGTGCGTCAACTAAACAAGAGAGGAAAGACGCACCTATATATAATAAGGAAGACAAAAGGAAACAGGATATAATTGGTATTTCACTTTTCTTTTTTCAGTTTTCGCTTGCTCACCAAGTTAAATTTTTATATGTCCAGACCTACTGCTTGACTTTGACTTCGTTTATAAAAACGACTTCCCAACCTATCCTCTTCAATCTCCCATAATATATATATATCTTTCCGTGTAGTTTGTAGTCTGTTTTTTCCTCGAAGGAGGAAGGTGAGTGCCTCTTTCCTTTGTATTGATTAGTCAAACTAAAATAAAAAAGGACATGTTCTTCTCATTCTCGTCATGACATTCCTCCATTTAGTTAGGTTGTATTAGTTATTTCCTTAAGATTAAGAAAATTGGTTAATTGTCAATTTTTTTTTAAACATTTCAAAATTATTACCCTTAGTCAAACTAAACTCACTGTTGTCTGCCGAAAGTGAAATTTAAAAATAAGGAAATTTTAGGAAATATATGTCATTAATCGCCCGTAAGAGTCCAGTCCAGTAAAAAATTTGTAGTCACTTAACCTGGGGAACTAATTTTCAAACCTCCATAAAGAAAAGTGTCTACATTCATTGCCCAATCATTCATCAAATGAGATTATTTTTAATATTTGTTTTATTTCAACATTCAGTATTTTGAGAAACTTGTAGATATTACCACCACCTAACTAATCCAAACTCTCACCATCCAAAATTATTATTATCATTAGCGGGCCTTACAAATATCTTGATAATGCATTTGACATATTTTTTAATGTGGCTACATATTTAAAATTTAAATTCAAAACTTTAAAAATAAGCTGATTCAATAAATCCCTCGACCAATTAAACCAAGTGCCTCTCCATATATTATTTTCAATAATAATGAAACATACACTTGCACAATAAAAAAAGTATATATCACATATAATTACATGTACTTTTGGTAATGCTAGGGATGCTAGCTCCCTTAATTTACGTGTTGAAATAGTTTTACATATAGTTTATATGTCTTTGTCATTGGGCTCTGATTTCCCTTAAAAAAAATGTTTATTTGGAAGATGAAGATGGACACAGACCCAACTCGCTTACATTGCTTGATTCCTTGTATTATGAGTTCAAAACGAGTTTGGTCGTATATACTGTGCTCATCTTTATTCTTTACCTCAGGCTTGTTTCGATGGGCCCAAAAAAAAGGTGGGGGGGGGAGAAGAGGAAGTTACAGGAAACATAAACGGAATATTTTATATATTACATAAAAAGAGGCAGTGATTTTTTTTTTTTTGGGGGGGGGGGGGGGAGCCAATGAGAAACGAGAGATGGGTCTCACGTGTTTTTCCCCCTTCATATTTTATCTTTAAAAATGGAGAGATTTGAAAATAAATTAAATGTGTTTTTTGAATTAAATTGTTTCCAGTGACAGATAAAGAAACATAAGTTCTTTATCCTTTTCATTTCAGTATTATTGTGATAGAGAAACTAGTCACTTTTTTTTATTCTTTTTACAGATTTTATCCTATTAATTAAAATCCTTCCTTTCCTATACTTCCTCTGATTTTATTTATAAGGCATAATTTAAAAAATTTATTTGATTCTATTTATAAGTCATAATGTTATTTTTTTAGATAATATTTTTAAAATTATCCTTTAGAAGAGAGAGAGAAAATATGATATTACTTTTTAAATTTATTATATATATATATATTTAAAATTCTATACACTTTTATTTTTTATATT